TTTCATTCTACAGGGTAATAAAGTGAATTTCATTTCAGTACATATTTTCTAAATATCTTCCCCTACAGTAAAGACTTTAACTTAAAAATATGAATATGATAGGTAATCATTATTAGTTAACACACTATTTCGATAAATTACCATAACCCATTGGCGTAGAATGAAGGGCTAAAGAAACAATTTTATTCAAAACTCTTTGAACGCCCTACATTTCATAAAACTAGATTAATAAATATTTCTCACGCCATTTGTTACAAAAAAGGGACTTCTGGTTGATCTTTGTAGGCTATTCCATTTTCGAGGTGATAGAACTGATTTATTTTATACAGAGTGTTTTGAAACATGTCTTAAATATGGCTAATTTTAAGTTCATTTTACTCAATTTTGTCAAATGCAACACACTGTATATTATTTTCGCATAAAATTCCCTATAAATTTACCTATCCAACGATACCAACATGTCCCAATAGTGCGTAATTGATCGATAGCTGTTTTTTTATTGAAAATAGGAAAAACAACTCAATATAACAGTTATATGACCATGTTTAATAAATATTCTTAAATATACAGGGTGGTCCATAAACGAGGGGCTGACCAAACTTATACATTTTTGTATTTATTTTCACATCGTCAATCAACTTTAATAGACTTCATTTATTTGCCATGTTGTATATAGGGTGTTTCAAAATGAGGGGTAACGATTTTCTCATACTTTTAAGTGGAATAACCTATATGTCATACCACCAATTAATTAATACAGGGTATTCCATTTAAAAAATTGAGAAATCGTAACCTCACGTTTTGACACACCCTATATACAACATAGCAAATGAATACAGTCAATTAAAATTGTTTGACGATGTAAAAACAATCAAATATGTATTAAACAATTTTGAAATTAAAGTAAACCCCTAAATTATAATAATTTAATTTGGGGTCTGCATCATTCTCTAATTTAAAAAAAATTGTTTGGCAATACTGTAATATTTTAAAAAAAAATTCTAGGGTTAAATACAGTATTCCCAAGCCATTCTAAAAATAAAATAAATTAATTATTTGTAAGGCAAAAACGCAACACCCTGTATATCCAAAAATATTTTTAAAATATGTATTTTTCAAATCCATATAACTTTTACTAAAATTTGTTTGCGTCACGTAACACAAATTGAAATATTGAACAATTACGAACTAATGGGACCCTGTATAAAAATTTTAATTTTCAATTTGCAGGAATATTATTATTTTAGATGACAAAAAATATTGATGTTGACTATGGCTTGGGGGGGGGGTAATTACCCCCCCCCTTATCTACGCCATTGCGTTTGTTTACATTTGACTCTCGAATCCACATCTACAATACTACATGCACACTAAATATAATACTGATCAACAATTATAGATTGAAGTGGAGAAGCAATTTTAACATGCTTATGAAGAAATAGCTTCCAGTGAAATTGTCTGAATTTTTAGTATGTTGCAGTTGTCAGTCTCCTGAAAAATAGTGTTCGTGAGCACAACTTACCATTTTTGGATTTTCCAAGACTATTGCTTAACTGATATCAAAATTTCCTGTATAACCTATGACGTAAATAATTATTAGTTACAGGATAAGTCAAAAAATTACTGAAAATAATTTTTATTATTACTTGCAAAGGATTATTCTTCAAATTAATATCACGCTGAAGGGACTATCACATTTTATACAAGGCGTGTCAAACAGTTGTGAATAATTGTAACTTTGGAATATGGGCATATGCGAACTCACAAGTAATGCAAACATTGTTTTGTGTGTAAGTATTCCCATAAATATATAACATTACTTTTGTGTATTTACGTGTACTCAGAACTTATGTATTATTTAAATAGTAATGGAAAACTAAATTGTAGTGTAAGGTATCCCGTAACTATATAAATGTATGTAGTTATAGAATTATTACCCTTACCTTATTTTCATATTTATTTAAAAGAAGCATGAACTCATAAATAGTACAAAACAGTTTTATATGTAAATGAACGCTGATAATATTCGCACTCACTTTGTATATTACCTAAGGCACTGACTTACGTACCTAATTGTATCCCAACTTCTAAAAGTGTTTTCAAAAATTTTAATAATTTGAACTAGAAGATATTTGTATACAACAAAATTATCTATATGAATCTTTAAAATCTCTCATACACAGGACTTGTTTTAGTACCAGAAACTTCCAGCTGAATGGTAGACCAATTTATAAGCCACTTTGTTTCGAAGATACAGGGCGAAAAAAAAATCGTCACTGTCGAATTCATATTACCATTAATCTACAAAAACTGTTGAAAATTACTACCGAAACAAAGTACCTTCTCAAATATCATGAAAGTACAAAATATTCTTAGACCAGTGTATAATTTAAAAAAAATTGTGAGGGAGTCAGTATATTGAATTCAATAAATTTTTCTTTTTTTTCCTTTTCATTATATACCATTTTTATAGTTGAATTTTGTCGCAGAATCACGGACTATAAATGTTTGAAATAAAAAAACGTATCCCAACTTTACTGCCGGGCAAATTTCATTAGGCACGTGTCTGCAGTTGACTCAATCATATCAGAAAAGCAATTACTCAGTTTTGATAACTCATCTACGGAAACCTAAATTATCTCATGGTTCCTCTAAACCAGGGATTACCAAAGTGCAACCCGCACGCCTTTTGCGGCTCGCAAGACTGTTTCATGCGGCCCGCGAACAATTTTTTTTGTCAAATAAACAAAATGTTACTGCTTAGTTTAAACATGAAAAAGAAAGTCAGAAACTTTATTAACGACGAACATTGAGTCGTCAGCAAGAATGAAAAAAAAAACATCATCTTTTGTTCCAACACACGCCAATCAAAACAAACGGTATCTGAAAACACTGCATGTTGCAGTGTTGCCTCAATCCCGATTGGATGTAAAAAATTCAATTCATTACCAGTGTAACATAAAATGGGTTGTGAGCAATAGTGCCAGTGTAGTTCAAACAGAGCTAACGAGGATTCTCATAGCAGCAAAAGAAATCACCAGAAACAATATCACTGGAAGGAACATACTTATCTATACAGATAGCAGACAAGCACTACTCGCCCTGAACAGACCACGAATTTACTCAGGGTTAGTACTAGAATGTCACGAAGCTTTGGCCGAAGTATCCTTCAACAATGTGGTCACCATAAAATGGATCAAGGGTCTTGCTGATTCACTAGGCAAGAAAGCAGCCAACCAAATACTTTTTGGACCTGGCCCTTCTATTGGCCTGACAAAATCGGTAGTGACAGACCTAATTAAAGAACATTCCCTTGTGAAATTCAAGGAAAGATGGGATGAAACACGAAACTGCAGAGTTGCCAGGGAGCTCTTAAGTTATCCTGACAACACTGCAGCAAACAAATACTTGACTATGACTAGACAGAATCTGCGCCTAGTCACAGGCATTCTGACTGGTCATTGCCAAGTACGGAAGCATCTTTATATCATGGCGCTGTCAGAATACGCACTCTGCAGAGGATGCGAACAAGAAGATGAGACCATCGAGCATACCCTTTACGATTGCTCAACGCTAACACCGGCCGATATAAGAGAAACATCTTTTGACAACGTTATCAACTACATTAAATCTGTAGGCTGGCTCACGAGCTAGGAGGTGCCTATCATCTTAGGAGGATGCACAATGGGCCTAGTGATGTCTAAGTGCCGTGGGGGTAACTCACCCTCCACACGTTACAGATACAGTGTAACAAATTAATGATTTATGCGAAACCTAAATGTGAAGTTTGTTAAAAAGATAACGAAAAATGGACAAAAATCGTTTTGGTTGTTGAAACATACCTTTTAAATACAGAATCAACTTCATTTCATTGAAACAAAGCAAATGTTGTTTAAAAAAGTTACCTGTTTATATAAAATTCTGCTACGGACAGGAAATTATCCTTATTCAAATATGTTTATATATTTAAATAATCTTTCCAAATACCATGCGAGGTTAAAATTTTTTGTTTTTTTTTTATACAAATTTGGCAAAATTCCAAAGAAAAAAACAAAATATTTTTAAAAAATTCTCAGCGCCTGTGGTATTATCATCAATAACTGTCAGGAGTTGACTAAGCATTTGAGAAGGTAGGGATACGGGGAAATTAGTAAAAATAAAATATAAATATCTATAATAAACAGAAACGTTTTTGGGAGATTTTGATGTGCCCTTAACTGAATATGTGGCAAGTTTCAATTAAATGTTCTTAAATTAGGGATTTGCTAAACTATTTGTAAAATTATCTAATGAGGTGCGAGTTTATTATCAAACTATATTTTCGGAATTACTTATATTTGTAAAAAAACATTTTCAATTTGCGGATTAAGGGGGGTTGAAATATTAAAAAAAAACTCAAAAAATAAAAATGATATAAACCAGAAATGTTTAGCAAAGGGAAAAAATCCCTTTGATTAAAAAAATATGGGGAGTATTTAAAACTCAAAAACGGACAATATCAACTGGAAATTTTTGGAAAAAATCAAGCCCTATTAAGGGAAGAAAGCCTATAGATTAAAAAAAACTAAATAAATGGGGGGTTGAATAAAAAAATAGAAGTTAAAAACCAAAATCAATATGAAATGTTTAGTAAAAACCAATAAAGGAATAAATAAATAAAAATGGGGTGATAAGGGGGGTTGAAATATTGAAAAAATCCTAAGTTGGAAACAAAAAAAAAAGATATCAAATTGAAATCTTCAGGTAATATCAAGCTTTATAGGGGATGGAGTCTATAGGTTCTGAAAAAAATTAGATTGAAAATGGGAGTCTTTTAAACTGTGAAGACTATACTACAGAATGTCAAGCATTATATATATTTATTCCAATTGTTAATACTTTTTGCTTAGATTAAAAGAAATGTCACTAAACTATATTTGACGTTTCTCTTTAAGGTTTTACTGGGTAAATTTAGATGATTTGTGAATTAGGCTACGTCGTAAAATAATACAAAGAATAACTATGCTTATAACATCTAATTTATTTGTATTTATGAATTCTACGATATTTATCCCTCACCAATAATCTACATGGATATATAATTTATATGTTAATATTAAACACAGTTTGGAACAGTGCAAGTTTAATCATACATCATACAAAATACCCTATTCAGTGTATATAGTGTGCAACCAGTCATCACAACAACATACTTGTATGTAATAACGTTTCCTGCTTTCCACGCTTAGTAATATGCACTGTCCCAACTGTAGGTACAGTTATTGTTTTAAAAAGAAGCAAAATAGGTTAGATTAATAATTATTAGATAAAGTACATTGGATTAGTTTGTCTTATTGTAAATGTTTTCATTAACCCAGCGTAGCTATGGTCCAGATTGTCAAAATTCAACTCTTCATTATGAATATACACCTTGGCTCTGGCTGCAGCTAAATGAGCGTTGTATGTAGGAGCAGGATAACTGACGGATCGATTACATCTCGAATACAAATGACATAGGTAGTAAGTCAGTTGTTCGAGGTCGTCATTTGATAGCTTGTTGTCGTCTACAAGAGTAGTGTACTTTGTAGGTCTTGCTACGCCTTTAATACTAGCGTGTGATACTAAATAGTATTCTTGCATGTATGGATGGGTTATTTCTGTATCAACACAAGTTCCTGAAATTAAAAATATATTACAAATCATTCTTTCAGTAAATAATAATTATCTTAAAACGTGAATTACGTATTATGTACTTTTTTATAATCACAATAAATTTCGACTTTAGAGAGTTACCAGTTATCACCAAAGTCTCTATATCAAATACGGTAGATTTATTTTGACAGCTACACATGCGCATTAGTATTTTAGCAAGAAATAGTGGTAAATAAGAATACAACAGTATTTTCTTATTTTAGAAAATACGGATACCTTTTAAATGGAATAATGTAACTTACTCGTATTTAAACAGAACTACTTTGGACTATTTCGTAAATGTCATTCTGATCATGGCGGGAATATGTAACGTGTTTCTCGCATCAGTCAAATATAATTATTTGTAAGGTAAAAGTGTTTTTGATTTTTAAGCGAGTAATATAAGATTTTAAAAGCATGAATTTGAATAATAAAACTTATTTGAAAACATAGGAAAATTATTTAGTACTGTTGAGAGAAGTATTGGTGCAGAATCTGTTATATAAGACAGGAAATAAAAAAAAACAGATTTTTATATGAAATATCAATATTCCTAACTTTATAGGAAATATTCGTCTTTGAATATGTAGATATGTTACATTGTATTACACATACTTTTAGGGACAATTTAAAAATCCTATTCCAATAATCAAGATGGTATAAAGATTTAAAGTTTGGATCAATACACATTACAAAAAATATAAAAATAGATTTTTTTGTGATTTTTTAAAATTTTAAATAAAAGACAGAAAATGTGGTCCTAATACCTACATAAATTTTGTATTATAAAATAAAGTTACTAAAACTTGAACATCTGGAAAAATTGAGAACAAATAACATTTCAGAGGGAACAAAAGTCTAAAAATAGGTTCTGGTATTTCTTTGGGAACATCATAAATATCTTCTTCAGACAATTCATTGTTGGTTAATTCAATAATTTGGATGGTGACGCTTTTTAAACAGACTTTATGTTGGATGTAACTGGTTTTGCAATGCATCCCAATATTTGGGCGCATATTTCAGTCAGATGGAGTCGCTTATGATATAATCGGAATATACCATGTGATAAAGCGTATTTCATAGTATACTATCTCTCAAACTTAGGTTTGAAAAATTTTGGATCTAGCCGGTTTTGCAAGTAGACCACTCAAGTATTCCATATCATAAAAGTTACCCGACATGCCAACAAAGTAAAGGTTTGTAATTTTAAGAGCTTATGCGTATTTCGCTTTTCATTAATAGATGGCACAAGAATCATGTGTTCTGTGAAAATAGGAGTTCAAGACATTTTTCATGTTAAGGTAACGATATGTAATTTGAACAGTAGATTCCATTTAAAAAATAACACTTAACGACATGTCCGGTAAACACGGAAGTCGGCCATTTTGTTTTTAAGTATGAGTGTCAATTTAAAATTATATCTAAAATGTTTGTCCCAAATCGCTATGTAAATAAAAGAGATATTAACGTGGTCAGTCTCATTATCACTATTATCTTCAGTATGTACATCAACTGTAATGATTTAATTCATAATTATTGATTTCAAAAAGTCTGTCCAAGAAAAACAAATTATTTACTTATTTTTGAGTAGAATAAAATTTGCCATCCATATACAGTATGTCCTCCTATTGGAATCATATGGAAAACTTTTTTATTATTAATTTTAGGAAAAAAAGTTATTCTTCATAAAAAGTTCTGCATTATCTAAAATCTAGAATACAGTTATCAAATATCAAATTTTTTCAGTGGTATACGAGGTTTATCAAAAAATATGAGTTTTACTCAAGAGTAAAGTACCTTTATTCTTTATACGACTGATAAAATTTGATATCTGATGGTTGTATTTTAGGTTTTAGACCATGCTTGACTTTTTATAGACCATAGCTTTTTTCCCAATATTAATAATAAAAAAGATTTTCATATGCCGCCAATTTACGTAGAGTTGGTGGCATAGGAAAAGTCGAGCATGGTCTAAAACCTAAAATACAACCATCACATATCAAATTTTATCAGTATAAAGAATAAAGGTACTTTACTCTTGAGTAAAATTCATATTTTTTGACAAACCTCGTATACCACTAAAAAAATTTGATATTTGATGACTGTATTCTAGGTTTTAGATAATACAGAACTTTTTATGAAGAATAACTTTTTTTCCTAAAATTAATAATAAAAAAGTTTTCCATATGATTCCATAGGGGGACATACTGTATACTTACATTTAAAAGTCTTGCACCACCCAAATATTAGTATTAGGATTATTTTTAAGTTTGAAACCTTTCTATTAAATATTAATTAAAATCGTACACCAAAATGAGACAACTGTAAATAAGTTGCTTTCCATCAGAAAAAAATTATTAAGATATATATTTTATTTTTCAATAATAAAGGGGGTGCAAGACTTTTGAAGTGAATTTAATTAAAATATATGCTACATACCTGCAGGTACATTAAAATTTTTATCTTCACTGTCACCCTCGTTTACAGGAAACAGCCTTGTATGGTGACGCTTCTGTACTACAATGCATGTGATTTTCGGTCTGTAATTCTGATCCAAACGAAAGCAAGCAGCTTTTATGTCTTGAACTTCGTTCTCCACTACTTTGTCATACTCGCCATCAGAAACACCGTCGCGGAAATAAATAATCGTTTTCGGAAGGGTTTTTGTATTTTGTCGACACTCCAAGAGTAATTCTCGAACGATCGCTTCCATATCTTGAATCATTTCTACCCTTGGACCCTGCAGTCTCCATCGGAAAGTGTACTGAGAAGCTTGAGAATCGTACGAGGCCGTGACGGCAGCAACGCTTGGTTTAATTTTGGATCCCGGTGCGGGGTGTGTAACGTCCGCACCCATAACCATGCAATTCTCTAGAACCTTCGGAAGTTGTTTTAGAGTATGATTAATTCCGTTCAATTTCATATTCACTTTCAACATAATATTCGCGATGGTTTGCGGCCCCGTTCTGGAATCTCTAAGGATCGCGTTAGCCGTTTTGAATTTGATGCATTGTGTGAGACAGTTTGTGTAAAGTTCGGCTGCTTTTTTAACTAACGGGTAGCATTCCGTTGATTGATCGGGCACGACTACGAATATAATATCGTAATTCTGACCTTTTATAGTTTCCAAAAAAAAAGTTTTAATGTTTCCCACTATTTCAATATGGCCAGGTGCTGGCAGGTTTAATTCTCTGGTTTTTTGGATCTGGAAAACAAGTAACATTTAAGTGTTGCAATGAGAACTCCGTAATATCCTCAGAAACATGAGGTGTCATAAAAAAAAATTGATTTAAAAAAAAACTAAATAAAATATATTACCATGTTTGCCAGTCGACGAAGCTCTGAAACATCAAATGAGTTACCACGTTCATCTGTACAAGCAATAATTGTCCAGTTCTTGATATCAACTGAATATTGAAATTGGTGGTTTTTGCTTTTAAACCATTGGCCTCTTTCTGGTGTTGCTGTGTTATTATTCTTGTACAGCAGCATTGGAGGTTGTAATATCCTGCCATCTAATTGCATAAATTCATCGTTTACATTGAAACCAAAGTTTTGAACGACAGGATGATCATTGAATTGGGCTTTAGCGATGGAAGCTTTTATTTTCTCTTTTCTTTCCCTTGTACCAGTAGCAGTTTTCATGATCATATTTCTCGTATTTGCAGGTGTTAGTTCTTTTTTTATCATCTGATCTTTTTCAATGATACACAGTTCTAGAGGGAGATATATGCATCTATCTCTATTTCCCACCCAAACTGTGGGCAAATTAGGATATCTTATAACGTAGCCTTTCTCATTCTTAAAGTAATTCTCAACTGTTAATTCTTTCCCATTGTCCAATCTGAATCTTTGGTATTTAGCGGGTCTTTTCAATCCATTTATTGTGTAACTTCTCTTAGAAGATGGCTTGTTTGGCAGTTGGTAGGATATTCTTATTCTTCTAAAGGAAAAATAAAACAATTAATTCATCATTTTTAATCACGTTTAAAATTACTTACTCGACGAATGCGTTGAACTTCTGAAACTTGGTATCATCCAGTCCTTTTGTCAAATCAAACTTTTTAAATCTGTTGTCAAAGAAATCACTTATCGCTTCTGTCAATTTCATATTTTTAGGTACAGCTTTGTGAGCAACATCTACGTTTAAATAAATACACTGACCCCTGACAGCAGACTGATAGAATCCGTTGCGCAGTTCCATACCATCTTCAAGATTTACAGGATCTGCACCAGGTGTAAAGAAAAACGATCTTCCAGCTCTTAGAAGCGACACTGACGGAGAACTTCTCAAGACTATATCAACGACTTGTAGAGCCTCTCTGGGGGTTATTTGAGATTTAGCCAAATCATGGAGGGGTGCTAAATCTACTACTCTAGCAAATTTAACTTGGACGTTGTACTGTCTTTCCTCAAATGCAGTTTCACCTACAATATCTTTGAGTTTTTTAACAGTGTACAAATTGTATTTATTGTCGTAGGCAAATGGTATACTAGGAAAATTTTCAAGACCGAATTTTTCCATCACATTTCTGAATATTCTTTTGTGTTCTGGAGTAATTTTTACATCATAGTGGTAAACAGTTTGTAAATTACCCAAATCTATTTTAAAATAGTTTGTTTCTACTCTGATTCTTTTGCCTAATCGACCTGGTTTTGGAATTAAAAGTTGATACTTTGCTTCACCAGGTTCGACATCTGAAAATTACAAGTGTCATTTCATAATATGTTTCTTTGGCAAGAAAATATTACTTATATAAATGATATTAACATTCTTACATTTGTTTTCGCTCGGAGGCTGGTTTTTCACTGATATGCCTGTTTGTTTCTTAGTTTGCGATTGAGGTTGTAATTCCTTTGAAATTCCCGAAGGTGTCTCTAAAAATAGATATATTAATTACAAAACTACTTATTTGATTTCTAAATCAGTTTATATAAATATATATGACATCCACTTTATCACTAATTTTCACATACTTTTCTTTTGAACATCCTTCTTTTTGCCTCCCTGACTTCGCCATGCTTCTTGGTCTGAAGGTTTTTGTCCTTGCCATGGCTGTTGAGTTTCAGACATTTTTTGAGGGATTGTCGATGAGTATTGTTTATGATCTTTAAAAAATAAACAAGTAAATATATCTGAATTAAAATTTATACAAAAGTAATTTTTTTTATATCTATAATTTGAAAAATGAGTGATTTATTAAATTAAAGAAACTGGAAAAATATTGACAGGGTAATAAGCTTTTGCCTGGCAGATGAACAAAATATTTGTTGAAGTGATTATATTAATATTACCTACCTTTATTAGATTGTTTCTCCTCACCAGCATTAGTTTTTCCTTCATCCAAATCAATTTTTTTAAATTGAGATGTAACTGATGAAGACGCTGTTTCTTGCCGAGACGCTGTTTCTTGCTGAGACGGTATCTCTTGCCGAGTTGAAAACCAACTTTGTCCTTCCCCTTGAGCAGATCGACGCGTAAGATTTCCATGCTCAAAAATCTCTGTTCTTTTTTTACCCTGATCGGGTTTTTGCTGTCTTGTAGTAGTAGAAGAAGACGGTGATGTCTCTTGTTGAGCTGCCGGTGTTAGATCCCCTTCTTCAAGAGGCCTAAACTTACGGTTGCCTAGAAAATAAATTTTTTATTAAATAATCAATTATACTGGGTGGCTAAATAAGAGTGGATAGCAGCTATATCGAAAGTTTCAATAAAACCAGTAATTTATTGTTTTTGTGTTTTTTTTGCGCCTTCTAACCACCTATAACTGTTAAGCAGTTACAGAGGCAAGTCTTAATATGGAATAACTTTTTAATGACCACTTCATTCTAAATTACTTGTATATTATATGCTTCTATTAGTAGGATTATGAAATTGATTACATAAAAGGAAGATAATAAAAAAACTCAGATGCCTGATAAGAGTGAAGAGCAGAAGTTGAGAACATGATGTTACACAGTTGACAGTAATCCAACAAAATCTTCTCTAAATCCATGTCGTCCACGTATCTTAGAACCAGTGACATTTTAAATAAATGTGATAATTTAATTTTAATTTCGGCTTTACAAATTTTTAATATCATTCAATCGATTGGGCTTCAAAATGTTTAAATACATTACGGTTCTTATTTCCCCCTGATTTCCATCTTTCATGAAACTATTTAGAAAATTTAGATTTTTTGACGCACCTCGTATACGACTCAAAAAATGTAATATTTGATGGTTGCATTTGAAGATCTCACCGCAACGCACGTATGAGCGATATGGCCGGGGTGAGAAAGGGAAGGTCACTATATATCTACCCCTTGCGTCTACTTCCACGTACCTAGTAGTCTACGCTCGTGCGACAATCATATGAGTCAAAAATGGGACTTTACACACGATTTGCATATAATATTTTTTCTACTACCGTGCATATTATCCACTAATATTAGAAATATAAAAGTAACTTTTTTTCACTAGTGCGTAAAGTAAACCTAGCTAGCTGATGCCCTTATCACACAAGTGAAAAAAATAAAGAAATATTTTACTTTACGCACTAGTGAAAAAAGTACAACTTTACGCACTAGTAAAAAAAGTACAACTTTATGCACTCCGTGGAGTGCGTAAAGTATATACTTTATGCACGGTAGTAGAAAAAGGCTATTTTTAATACATGGGCCAAACGAAATGATTCATTGGTATCTTAATTTAAGTATTCTGTGCATATCTCTAATTTTCTAATATTAATTTTAATAAAAAATGTTAAAAAACATGTCTCAAATTATAATAAAAAAAGCTAGATTCAATAGATTTTTCTTTTGTAGTTACCAATGTTGTCTAAAATAAAATTATAAGTATAATATTGGATGGGCCAAATGATATGATTCTGGGCTCCTATTATTTATTTTTCCAACCATTTATAAACAGGGTGGTCTGTAGTTAATGGTTCATAGTAAGGGTAGCTTCTTCTTGTCTTTAAAATTACGATTCGACTCAACTTGATAACTTGATTCAATCAAATATAAACAATAAAAAAGTTGCAGGTCGCCTAAATTGAAATATAATTTTTTTACTTTTAATAGCTATTTATTTTATAACGAGTGAATATTTGCGGAACAAAAATTACACTTCATGTCTAAAATTAGAAAAAATACTTTTCGTAACTCTTTCAGTATTTTGATAAAGAAAATTTAATCAGATCATAATATTTCGAAGCCAACGGGAATATTCACTACCATTTACTCTATGTCCCTTAATTACGGTTCACCCTGTATAATGGCTGAGTTGGTATGGAAATATACCAACAATTACGGTTCTGGTGAAGGATCCTGAAGTGAGAATTTCATAATTTTAGCACTAATATATTGAAGAAAATGTTTATAATATTTTAACTGAAATTAAATAAGGCAGGTTAAGTTTAATTTGCTATTTTCATCTCTATTATAATTAACCTAACTTTTCATTATTTCCTTCCATAAAATTTAAAATAGTGATTCATGAAATTGTCAGTTCTTGACACATATGGTTCTCGAGTTTGCAAAGTTGCCATACTATAGGCAAAGAATACATACCGAAGAAGCGAAACTGAATGAGTTTTCGTATGTGCCAAAGCAAGGGAACTTAATACACTGGGAAACGTATGAAAATTAATCAATTTTTGTCATTTGGTTCATAAGAATTAAACAGTAACAATGACAGACAAAAAATTCTTACTATGTTCATTATGTAAAATAGATTATTTTAATAACGAAATAAGGTAGTTACAATAATGCCACAGTCACTATACAACAGCGTAAGCAAATGACCAGGGGCTTATTTCATAAAACTAGATTGTAGGTAACTTCTCACTTTGCACTTTGCCAATTTACGAGTACAAAATATTTGTGTTTTATAAAATAATATCGTTAACTTTGCAGATTATTAATTTTTCTTTTTCAATTTTTAAATTGTGTTTCAAATTTTACTTTTGAATTCATCATGATTCTCCTTTATAAAATATAAATTTAGTAAAATATATATGCAAAGTACAAAGTTGCAAATTAGTTTTATTAAATAGGTCCCTGGTCATTCTGCAAATAGGAAATTTTGGGAACAATTATGGAACAGTGGTGCAAGGACCATTCACTGCCAAGAAGACAGAAATGCTCCTTTTCACAAAAAAGGGATGAAAATGGAATTAAAACCTCCAAAGCTCCTAAACACAAAACAAAACTTTCCAACAGAGGTACATTATCTTGGCAACAAGTTAACATGGAACTCACACTTAGAAAACAGAATCAAAAGAGCATACATTGCTTATGAACAATGCCGCCGAACCGTGGGGCGCACCTGGGGATTCTCCCCCAGAGTCGTCACAAATTGTATTTTCTGAAACATATGTAGTGCTTAAAATATAAAAAAATTAAAACTATTTGGCCGAAAAAATCAAAGAACTTTTTATTTATATATTTAAAGATCATTCCCTTGTAAAACTCAAGGAAAGATGGGATGAAACCAGAAACTGTAGCGTTGCTAGGGAGCTTTTAAATTATCCTAACAACACTATAGCAAACAAATACTTGACTATGACTAGACAGAATCTGCGCCTGATCACAGGAATTCTGACTGGTCATTGCCAAGCACTGAAGCATTTCCATATCATGGGACTGTCAGAATCCGCACCCTGCAGGGGGTGCCAACAAGAAGATGAGACCATTGAGCATATCCTCTACAATTGCATGTCTAACGCTCTCATTTATTAGAAGATTTGTTTTCGGCGGGTATTGGCTAATACCGGCCGATATAAGAACAACTCTTTGTGATAAATTTTAAAAATAAAACATTTACAGCCGGATGCAAGAACGTTCATTAAAATTTACCAACAACGCAATGTATTTTTTTTTCATGTAATAAAAATCTTAAAACTATCTAATTTCTAATTACTACTTAGTTAAATACAACTACTTAACTGTACTGCAATTTTCAGAAGAGACTAATAATAATGTACCAAACGTTACTCTACATTAATTGACAGCTATATTTGACGTTAAACCACCTCTAAAACACTGAGAAAACTTGGCAGTTTTTTGTCCACGAATTGCCCATTTTTTCTATGGCCCATTTAGTTTCGCTTCTTGGGCAGGTATTCTTTCGGAAACTTCATAGAAAAATAAAAAGAGAAGGTTTGAATAAATGGCGGGATTTGTTTCCTTGTTGGTAGTTGAACCGTAAGCGCTTAGCGCGCTGCTATCACTAAATTCAAACCCGTTTTACACCCATAAAAAAATATGTTTTCAAAAATAATGACAAAGAAATCAATAATTTTACTGATTTAACCACATACATAAAGCATTTTTTGGCGTGCTCCCGTTGATAAACAGTGACACAGAAACCGTGACATGTCAAATGCCCCCACTACTATGTCTCGGTTTCTAAAAAATTCTTCGCAAAAATGAACCGGTTTACGTCAATCGTCAACGTTTTAGATAAACGAGGTTATGTTATGTGTATTTAAAAGGTATTTAACAATAAACAAACTGTGAAAAATCTAAAATTGAGGAAGACAGACAATTTTTCTTTTAAATAACAAATTCAAATGGAATTTAGAGACAGTTCAACGAAAACTATTATACATAAAATAAAAATATGAACGCACAAAATAAAACGCAACTCTGGCAGCTACCAAAAATTCCAAAACAAAACGGTATTACAGAATGCTATGAACGTCAACTGTCATTATCAACCGTTTGTTCACCACCTCAAGAGGCCGGGAACAGATTCATCACGGCGGTAGCAAACAATGACGTCAGTGAATGACGTCATTACACTTCCCCTTGAGCGGTTCACGTCGCAAAAATGATGCGGGTAATACCGTTTGATCACCGGGAGCTCGCCAAAAATTGGTATTTGATTACTATACGAGGCAAGAGAGAGGTCCGACACGCCCAACATAGGGCGCGGCCATTTTGAACCCTGTGACACAGTTTACAGCTAAAGAATCAGATCGCTCACTCTGCGTCGGCACTTTTGATCTCAATGTTTCAGTTTATACACTGTGCAACACGGATAATACAATATATGACAACCGCCTATAATAAAACAGCAGTCTTCTGCGTATCCTGAATTTGTATCCCTGGAGTGGTTGTTATTTTGGAACTTTCAACTGGTCCGAGTGAGCTAACTGATTCTTTAGCAATAAACTGTGACTTCAAAAATAATATTCACTGACACTGACAGCAGCAAGCAAAATATCAGGTGCGTTTTAATCATCCGCTTCTGCTTCCGGAATTTTCGGTTTAATCGTTTTAACCTGTCAGATTAAAACAAGAAAACCGACAATTCCGAAGCAGAAGCGGATGATTAAAACGCACCTATTAAAAATATTGCGCAAAGATGTAGGCAACACGTAATAAGGGTTCAAAATGGCGGAGTTTTAAAAGGCACTCAGAAAGCTGCGCAGTGCGACCATTCTCCGTATAGTAAAAGAAAATCAAAGTATGTGGATTTACCCCTTTAAATTTCACTTTGCTATAATGTGTGATCAAATACAGGGATAATCGTTAATAAATTTAAAGTTAAAGCTAAATTTAAATATTATTAGGTGGTGTAAATCTAACTTTGAAAATAAATTAGGTTATGTTGCTATAAATATGTCAGCCCATAGAAAAA